AAAAAAAAAAAAAAAAAAAATAAGATACACCCACGAACCGTTCAACTAATACTGGTATGGAACTTGCTGAGATGACATCATAAAACGTGTATGAACGTCATTCTTTTCAATTAATACATAAAAAATTTCATATAATTGGAGTTACGAAATATAAGGGTAGGTGATAGGAGTGAAAGTAATTTATTATGAGATAAGTCGTGACACCCGAATAAAGAAAAGATGCATGAATGAACCGATATTATATTCGAATGAGAGTGATCCTAAGAATATCATCTTTAAAAAGTGCTTAAAATAATTAATAGCTACTATCAATACCAATAATGTGCACTTTTCTTTGAATTCTAAAGCTAAAAGTGTTGGACTTGAAGTTTTGACACCCGAGTAAAGGTTAGGTACATGAATTGTAACGACCCAGATCCACCGCTAGCAGATATTGTCCTCTTTAGGCTTTTCCTTTCGGGCTCCCCTCAAGGCTTTAAAACGCGTATCCTAGGGGAAGGTTTCCACACCTTTACAAAGGGTGTTTTGTTCCTCTCCAACCAATGTGGAACATCACAATCTACACACCCTTATAAATGACGTTTTGTTCTTCTTCCCAACCAACGTGGGACGTCACAATCTACCCCCTTTCAGGGCCCAGCGTCGTCGTTGGCATTCTTTCCTTCCTCAAATCGACGTGGGACCCCCACCAAATCCACCCCTTTGGGGCCATCGTCCTTACTATCACATTGCCTCATGTCTACCTCTCTGGGAACAACCTCCTCGCTAGCACATGGTCCGGTGTCTGGCTCTGATACCATTTGTAACGCCCCAGATTCTCCACTAGCAGATATTGTCCTATTTGGACTTTCCCTTTCGGGCTTCCCCTCAAGGCTTTAAAACGCGTTTTTTTAGGGGAAAATTTCCACACGTGTTTTATTCTCCTCTCCAACCAATGTGGGACATCACATGAATGAACCAAGACCACATTTGAATGAGAGCGATCACGAGAACAAAATGACTAGATGCACATTTGTTTCCGATAACTATTTAAATCTTAACCAAATTTCAACGACATTTGTTTCCCACTTGGACAAGGCATGTGACTACCAGCCTTGGACCTTTTGTTTCTTTTGTCCTCTTAGTTAATCTAATTTAAAATATCATAAAGTCTTTTTTAAATAATATAATTACTTTTTAGTAAATCACGCAACTCAAAAAAATAATATTTAATTACAAATTCTATATATTTACATATTTAAAAATATTTATATTTTTATATTGTACTAAAATTTCATAAATAAAAAGTCAAGAGAATAATTATATGTTTGGAAATGTAAAAATAATATTTATATAACATTATTATAAATAAATCACCTAATATAAAATAAAGTTTATTAAGATACGACCTTGGGGAATGTGACAATGCCAGCTGGCCCTATATATTAGGAGTAAACTCTAATTAATTAAATTAATGAGAGTGCATAATTCAAAGAATAAAATAATTAATTAAATATAATCAAGCACTGCCCACATTAAAATATTAGATAATGTTGTTTATTCAAAGCAAAATAATATTCAATAATTGAGTCCACCAATCCTCCAATGTCTATGCACTAGGAAGTGTAGTTTCCTCGTGCTTTATTTATTTATTTATGAAAATTCATGACTCTTTAATTGGTCCAACGGTAGGCTTGAGCGGTTTATGTAACGACCCAGATCCACCGTTAGTAGATATTGTCTCTTTGGGTTTTCCCTTTGGGGTTTCCCCTCAAGGCTTTAAAACGTGTGTGCTAAGGGAAGGTTTCCACACCACCCTTATAAATAGTGGTTTGTTCTCCTCCCCAACCAATGTGGGACATCACATATTAGATGGTGTGTGACACTAGTTAGAGTAGGACTAGACTCTCTACATAAAAGACATGTTTAAAAATCGTGAGGTTGAAGACGATATGTAACAAGCCAAAGAAGACAATATCTACTAGTGGTGGATTTTGGTTATTACAAATGGTATCAAACCCAGCCATCGGGCGATGTACCAGTGAGGATGGTGGGCCTCCAAAAGAAGTGGATTGTGAGATCTCACATCGGTTGGAGAGGAGAACGAAGCATTCCTTATAAGAGTGTGAAAACCTCTCCCTAGGAGACTCGTTTTAAATTCGTGAGGCTATTGTTTGGGTTTTGTTTGCTTTGTCCAACGTACGTGTATCAACTCTCCCGCTCAAATTATGAAAGAAAATGCAAAAAAATGGACCACCCATTATTATTATTTTCCATTTTTATATAGTTGGTGTAGAAGAAATGGGATATATTATTTCTTAAATAGGAAAATAAAAAATTTGTAAGAAGTTTGTATTTTTGGTATGTTTTTTTATTTGCATATATTCGTTGCCACTCATGTTTGGTCCTTTTGTTACTACAAATCTATGTATTGGAATGTTTTTTAGATCAACTTCTTTTCTCTATATGTTTTTTTTTTTGTCTGGGGACAATATTTTTAAGTCAAATGGACAAATGTGGAAAAAAAAGGTACAACAAAGGTAGCTCGAGTTTGGTGGGTAAAGCATCTCGTGCTTAAACACAAATCCAGGTCGTTAGAGGCTCGTGGCTCCCGAGCACTAGTACGAGAAAGTGCAAATATTCTAATTTAATTAGGAAGATTTAAGTATTATTAGTCCAAGGATCGAAGACTTAATTCCTATTATGTAAGAGTGTTCATATGACCCAATAACTTGCCAACTTGAATTACCTGACTCAAACCATAAAAATTCAGTTTGGTCTGCTCGTTGACATTTTTTTTTTTGTTGGTTTTGTTGGGTCAACCAATATTTAATTGCTCCGTAACCAACTCAACCAACAAGTTTTGTTGGGTCAACCAACATTTGTTTACTCGGGTAACCAACCCAATCAAGATAAAATTAAATTCAAAAGATTTTTCCTCGTATTTATTACGACAAATATATATTTGAAAGATATTACTCTTATCCCTATACTGTAACATTAAAATTTGAATTTTTAAAAATTAAATTAAATATATATTATATTAGAACGTTTAAAACTTTCTATATAGAAATTATATTAGAAATAAAAATTATGGATTAAAAAATTATTTGAAATAAATACTTTTAGAAAATAAGAAAAAACTCCAATCCCTAACCCGATCCTCGCAAGAAAAAATAGGAAATTTTGTGGGAATGGAGATTAAAAATAAGAGGCAGGGCTGAGGACGGGAACGAAAAAGACTTTTTTGTCCTTGCCCTGCCCAATGAATAAATCTAACTATATAGAGTAAAAAGGTCAGAGGATCGAACCCAAAAGACATAACCGGGAATGACTATAAGAAATGCAATATTTTAAAAAAGGGGACTATGAATTACAAAATTCCTATAAAATATAGAGTTATTTCCATTTCTAATTTCCCATTTTGCCCCTGCTCTTGAGGCCGCCAAGGATTCATAACACATCCAAACACCAAACACTGATACAAGCTAGCTAGCTAATACAAGCAAGCAACTGATGTTTTATTCACTTCAGCAGTGGGAGATTACTGAAGTGCCCAAATTTATGAGAGAAAATCAAGTGAATTTCCTCGCAAAAATTTCTAACAATTAACTTACAAACACCATTATGTTCTTCTTCTTCTTCTTCTTCTTCTTTCTTTCCTCTAACAATCAACACACTCACTCAGTGTTTTGAAGTATCACCAAACACCTCTGTATAACATATGGGGCAAGCCTGCAAAACCATAACGTTATTACTCAATCACTCACTCATTCACAACACGGGTATTCGATGCTGCTACACTTTTTGTTATACTAAACGACACCTAAAAGTCTACCATTGATTACCCGTTTTAGCTACGGAATGAACGTGGTTATTATGCGAAGATTGTGTAGATGTGTAGATGAAGGAGAAGGCTTTCCACTTTAGGATTTTTTTATAACGGCTAACCGACAAAACAAGGAAATGAAAAAAGGTAGCCCTTTTAAGGAAGATTGAGTGAATAGGCTAGCTATTAGTTGTTACTACTCTATTACTGACTACACAACGTTAACTCTTACTTGGTCGGTTTTGAGATGCATATGAATTAGAAAAGAGCGGGGTGCTATGTTTTAAGAGGATGGGAATTGGGTTCAAAGTCTACGGGTAAAAGCTTTGGAAGTTCTAGGCAAAGCTGTAACAGAACAGAGATTTCGAGTTATATCAGTCAACAATGGCAGCACACATTCAGTCTTACTAAACTAACAGGAGAAGGAGAAGACTTTCCACTTTGAGATATTTTTTTTATAGCTACTGAAAATCTAACGGACAAAACAAGGAAATGAAAAAAGGGAAGCCCTTCGGTTGAGTGAATAGGCTAGCTATTAGCCGTTACCACTCTATTCCCGACTACACAATGTTAACCCTTGCTTGGTTGGTTTTGAGATGCATATGAATGAGAAAAGAGCGGGGTGCTATGTTTTAAAAGGAGGATGGCAATTGGGTTCAAAGACTACGTGTAAAAGCTGTAACAGAACAGAGGTCTCGAGTTATATCAGTCCAACAATGGCAGCACACATTCAGTCCTACTAAACTAATAGTAATACCTTGTTGATGCTGAGCCATTTGGTTCCACAACCAGCATGGTAGATATGTTTGCATGGCAGAGTGATCCGTCGATCGCCTCGTTTATATTCCATTTGGCATATCACACATCTACATCCAGAAAAGTACATGAGATTCAAAGAAGTAGACAGGAACAAACTGGACTCTCAATCAGGTGCAGGTATGATATAATAGAAAAGCATTGAATCCAAAACGTTCATTCAGCGTTCTTTGTAAGTACACGACATAATGAGGATAGCACGATTACGAGTCAATCTCAGAGACAAATAAACGTCAAGGAAAGAAACATCATGAACTATCACATACCTCTCTCCACGAGATTTTTTCCTCGAGAAGAAACTATATTTGTACTTTGATATCGGAAGCAAAGCGATCAATTCTTGTGAAAGACCTCGACTTTGAGTTCCAACTGTCTCACCCAACTCTAGTAATTCCTGAACTCGAAATATTATAGATTTTTATCCAAGTATTGTAAAAAATTGCAGATAGTTCAAGATAATCAGAGGCCATATAGGATGAAATTTGTTAAATCTTACTTAGAAAAATGTTCAGCAGGCCTATATAGTTGCCCTAGTTACCCAAAAGAAAACTTATTTCAGCTTATGTAGCTATAGATATTGTAATACATTGTCTCGGTTTCGGGTGTCGGTACCCTTTTGTTGAAGCAAGTTCCGTAAAACAAGTAATTTTTTCCAAACGAACTAACCTCGTAAGTCATATTATCAGGATCGACATTGTCTTGCCAAACAACCTACACTTAGATAAAGCATCCGTTCGTCAACGATCGAGAACAAAACACCAGGCCAAACAAGTTTTATAAACACGTTTCAGGTAGAAAGTTGATCTGCAAACCATATAAAAGCCACAAACCTGAAAATCATGTGAATTATGGCGTCCTCTTGGACCTGAGAGAAAGCGAAAGAGAATTGTTCGAGTCGACCGTTAGAGCTATCAGAGAGAGGAAAACTATGAAACATTTAAGGTGAAGTAATAACTAAATTCAAGGGAAATCTATATTTTAAGAACCGTATTCTTTTTTGGTGTTCAATTAAACAACTTATAAGAATCATCTACAAGAGTTATTAAGTTCATCCTTGTATGCAGTGTTTTCTCAAGATATAACCTTAAGCACACGAGATCTTGAGAAACGAAGTACGGATATGAACACCGGTATTCCTCAACAATATATATCTAATTGTATCTGTTCATCTCAATTATGTTCAATGAAGAAGTATATGTCATACTCTATGCCAATGAATCTTAAACTTAAAATATAAATAAACAAATAAACCTCAGAAGCAATGAAAAATGTAATTGATGTATGTATCTTTTGATGTTTCGCTCTTGCTGTGAACATTGGTTTTGTAACCGCCCAAGCCCACTGCTAGCAGATATTGTCCGCTTCGGCCTGTTACGTATTGCCGTCAACCTCACGGTTTTAAAACACGTTTGCTAGGGAGAGATTTCCACGCCCTTATGAGGAATGTTTCATTCCCCCCCTCCAATCGATGTGGAATCTCATAATTCACCCCCTTTGGGAGGACAGCTTCCTCGCTGACACACTGCCCGATGTCTTCCTCTAACACCATTTGTAATAGCCTAAGCTCACCACTAGCAGATATTGTCCACTTTGGTTAGCCTCACGGTTTTAAAACACATTTGCTAGGGAGAAGTTTCCACACCCTTATGAGGAATGTTTCATTCCCCCCTCCAATCGATGAGGAATCTCACAATTCACCCCCTTTGGGGGTCAACTTCCTCGCTGGCACACCGTCCGATGTCGACCTCTAACACCATTTGTAATAGCTCAAGCTCACCGCTAGCCGATATTGTCCACTATGGCCAACCTCACGGTTTTAAAACGTGTTTGTTAGGGAAAGGTTTCCACACCCTTATAAAGAATGTTTCATTCCCCTTCCAACCGATGTGGGATCTCACAATCCACCCCCCTTGGAGGCCAGCATCCTCGTTGACACACCACCCGGTATCTAACTCTAATACCATTTGTAACAGCCCAACCCCACTGCTAGTAGATATTGTCTGCTTTGATCCATTACGTATCGCTGTCAGCCTCACGGTTTTAAAACGAATTCGCTAGGGAGAGGTTTCCACACCCTTATAAGGAATGTTTCATTCCCCTCTCCAACCGATGTGGGATCTCAGAGTTTCAGAAGTAAATATTTTGCATACCTCCACGAAACCTCAATGGTGAACCAAACAGATGGAGAACAATTGGAAAAACCTTTTTCCAGGGATGGAACAATTGGAAAAGCTATCACTTACATTCTACATGGTTGTCAAATGCTGTAGTATTTGCAAATTCTTCCAACTCAAGATTTACTGTGCTCTGTACATCAGGCTGAGTTGCTGAGTTTTCTAGCCTCCTATGTTCATAAATTATGGGCTCTTGATCATGCACCCTATAAGCTTGAGGTGGGTTGTAATAGGTAGGACTCCCAAAATCTGAAAACCCAAACTTGTAAAAGTTTGAATTCAGAGGAGGATAAACAGTCTCCTGCAAATGTGAAACTTAAATGAGTTACATTGTCATTCTCCATTTACAGTTCAAATTAATTCAAGAAACTCGAGAGCGAAGCACTATGGTTCAGTGCGAAACTTCTTTTGCTAGCATATCGGTTATAAACAGGGTAAGGCAACTTTCAACTTGAAAGTAGATTCGACTCGAAAACGGAGGTCAGAAGAAGAAAAAACAAAGAAATGCAAAGAGACTTCACTCTTCATTTCACAAACAAAGAACATAATCTTCCATGAAGTAAGAACGACAAAAGAACAGCATATCGAAAAAAACAGAAAAACGACTTCCGATTGCAGAGGTTAACAAATCAAGTACAGCTGTTTGGAACAAAGAAGCAAGCAGATCGAAAGTACCTGAGAATGTGAAGCGCCCGAAAATATGAAATTTACATGTTCGTAGGTAAGACCTTCAAAATATTCCAGGAAACTCCCAGCAGTGTTATAAGGATAAGGGGTATTAACATGATGAACTTCTGTATGCGTGTTGTTCCAACTCATTTCATATACAAATGAATCCACCAAAGCTTCTGTTCAATGCAGAAACGTCATAAAACCAAAAGAACATTGCAAGAAAGAAATCAAAACAGCAAAAAGCCACTCCAAAGCCTACAGCACAGCTAAACTAAACTGTTCCAACACAAGTAGACCCAGTTTCCTTTTGCCCTTAAATGTGAGAACCAGGGCAACAACAACCAGACCCATGAGTTTGGTATCTCCTAGATTAAAGAAGCAGCTGTAATTCAGTAAAACAAAGCACAAATTACACGAATCAGCCGAGACATTTATCTGTCGCAGCCAAAGCCATCTCTCAGCAAATCTTCGAGCTAACACAACCCAGATCCCATAAGAAACGAATTAACAATGAACAAACAAAAACAATCAAAGAGCATCATCGGAATTGGACACCCTCATTGTTGATGATTAAGAACATACATCAAACCCAACACTAAACCACAAAAGGGAAATCAAGCAAGCAATTATCCATACTCAAATTTCCCTTGTTCCATCCAAATTACCCACAAACAACCGCACAAAACAGAAACAAAAAGAAAAACAGAGTGAATCAAAATGTAGGTTCTCAAAACTCACATTCAAACGCCGGAGCGATGCGCACAACACAACCAAGCAGCTCCGACGCCGAAACCCAACAAACCAAAAGCTAAGCAGAAGAACCCAGTTGGTGGAACAAGTGAAGGGGGGAATGTAGAAGAACAGAAACAGAGAGAAGAAGAGGGAAGCGGATGAAAGAGACGAAGAAAGATAAAGGGTCGGCCTCGGAAACAAAAACAAAGTGAAATCGGAAAAGAAAAGGGATTGATTCCAAAGGAAGAGGGAAGAGATTAAAGAAGCCGACAATGATCGCTTTTGATGGCGAAAAGAGAGAGAGAGGGTCTATGGTTGAATGATTGATTGTGGTTGGTTTGGGTATGGTTCTATAGATTTCTCGGCGAATTTGGGGATTGAAGGCTACGAGAATTTCTCTCGCTCTCTCTCGCTCGTTTTGTTGTTGTTGTTGTTGGTGAGAATTCAGAGCCTCCTCCTTGTTTGAGTTTGCCTCCCACAACAGATTCCATTTTCATTTTTTTCCCTAATACTCTATGATTTAATCAAATCTAACCTTTTTCTTTAGTTAATTAAAAAAAAAACTATTTTTTTTCAAATATATTATTTTAATTGTTAAATCGGCGTCTCACCACGAGAAATATTTCAATTGAATCACTCGGGTCGGTGATTTCTTACCTTCTAGGTCTTCTCATTCTTCATGTACGTGAGATCCCACAATAGTCTATGACACAAAACATTACTTTTAAGGGTGTGCAAGACGCGTTTTAAAATCTTGAGGTAAAGTACAGAAGGAAAAGCCTAAAGAGGACAATATCTACGGGAGGTTGGATGGTGACAAATGGTATCAGAACCAGACACTGGGCAGTGTGCCAACGAGGACGTTGAGCTCCTTATAGGGTGGATTGTGAGATCCCACGTCGGTTGAGGAACGAAAAACCTTGAGAAGAAGCCCGAGAGGGAAAACCAACTAGTGGGTTTGAGTGTTAGCACTGAAATCAAATGACTCTATAAACTTAGAACTCTACCTATTACGAGTAACGTAGGAGACATCTTTATTTTTTCACTCGAGAATCCTTAGAAGTACCTTTGTTTATCTTTCAATTTTCCTCCGACCATGAAATAAAATGTACTTGTAACTTTTATATTAACAGTGTAATGGTTTAATCGGTCGAATTATATATTCAAAATAAACTAATTAAAAAAATAATAATTAGTTTTATATGATTTAACCCAATTATAGAAATTAATTTGAAAATTTTAAAACTATACAAAAATTAAATTTATGATATAAATTAAATTTATAAAGACTAAATTCAATAACTTTGATTTATTTATTATTATTATTATTATTATTATTTTGGTGCATTGGCTGTTTGTCTTTTTGTGGGAGGCGACTGAGCGCCACGCGTTGAATGACAGGTGATCGCATGGGCGTTATAAGGGCTTCCTTCCATATTTGGACAAAATATAAGGGCTTCTTTGCAAATTTTGGCTTAAACTTTGGTTTTTTATAAAAATATCATTAATATTGATAATTATTTTTCTATTTGGTTATATAAAATATTTACATATAAATGATGGGTTAAAATGGAATTAATTATGAATTGAGGGGTTGGATTGCAAAATGAATAGATGAAAACCAAGAAAATGGGTTTTAAAAAGGACCAAATTGCAAATATTTTTGGAAGTGGTTGGGCTTGATTTGGAAAGAAAATAGTTGAAGAAGGATCATCAACCAACACCACCTCTCAAAGGTGAGTTGGTAATGGTTGGAAGCTTTGTTGAGAATCATTCTCCTAACACATTTTCTCCGTTCGTTCACAATAAAAAAATCTCGCTCAACGTTTAGGTTAGAAGACGGAGATGAATATTAATAAACATCGATGGGCGGTTTCTCCGACTCGCTTTCAACCTAATAATAAATCTCATTTCACGATAAATATTTATAGGCATCGATGAACGGTTTCTCCGACTCGATTCCAACCTAATAATTTCTTTACCCAGTTTACGATGTATGTAGATCAAAAGATATACATACATACAGTCTCCAAACTCGAAGGGCGTTGCTGTTCGTGTTAAAGACATTGATTTGTAGTGCTCGTTTTCTTTTTCTCAGGTATTTTTACTCGTTACACGTCATCTTCGTCATCAAATGACATGACAAAGTTTAGTCTCTTTAAAAATATATATATTTTTTTACATCGAATCGTTTTTTTATTCCACCCCATCTTTATATGTTTTTCTTCGATGTAATCATGCTCGATCACTTTTTCGATATTCAACAAAATCAATAATTTTATTTTTGAAGATCTAAGAATAGGGAGGCAAAGATTTTGGAAGTACATTAAAAAAAGTGTTTTTTTTTTAAATTTAAATTTATATAGAAATATTGGTTTAAATATTAATATTATTATATTTTAAATTCAAATTTAAATATTGTTTTCATGCATAAGAACTTAGGAGATGAGATTAAAGAGAATAATAATAATTTTTTTTAATGAATTTTAGATACCAAATAATTAAATTTCAAATTATCATAAACTAAATTAAAAAAAAAACTCATTTAATCCGTTGATTATTATATAACTTTTTGTTTTTATTTTTTAAAAATTAAACTCGTTCTTCTTAAATATTTTCAAAGAAAACAAACTTCGTTCAGTGGTTCATGAGTGCAGTGATTTTGTCATCTTAATGAATCTTAACAGACTAAGGTGCGAAACGAGCTCTAATGATCACAACGTACTATGTAGATAAAAGCTAAGTTTTGACTATAAGTTGACATTAAGCGTCGTGACCTAGTTGTATATGGGATCTCTAGGACGTATCGATGCATTGGATTCCATAAGACATAATGAATGAACATAGGTTGATAGACACATTGGAATAAGTATATGCTTGCATACCTCAAAGCAATTCTTAATGCTCATTACCTCATTGGTCCTCTTTTCTGCTTTTGAATCAAGGCAAATGCTTTAAAATATGGACCCAAATTCTACAAGTAACTAAAAAGAATATGGATATCATATTGAAATAGAGATTAAAGTAAAGGGTATATCTAAAAAGGCCAAGTGGTTGAGTGAAATAAAAGTAAGTCTATGCTTTAGTTCTTGATGTTTTTGGTGCTTTTCAAGATGGTTTAGAAAGTTCATATCGAGCTCTTCACGTTTTAAATTTGGCTTGTGGGGAACTCTTTGTAGGCAATGACAATGTAATGGCTCAGGCCCACCGTTAGCAGATATTGTCTTCTTTGAGCTTTCCCTTTCGAGCTTCCTCTCAAGGTTTTTAAAATGCGTATGCTAGGAAAAGATTTTCACACCCTTATAAAGGGCGTTTCGTTTTCCTCCCCAACCGATGTGAGATCTAACAATCCACCCCCCTTCGAGGCCTAGCGTCCTTACTAGCACACCGCCTTGTGTCTACCCTCCTTTGGGGGACAACCTCCTCGCTGGCATATCGCCCGGTGTCTGGCTCTGATACTATTTGTAACGGCCCAAGCCCATCGCTAGCAGATATTGTCCTCTTTGGGGGCTTTCCTTTTCGGGCTTCCCCTCAAGGTTTTTAAAACGTGTTTGCTAGGGAGAGGTTTCCATACCCTTATAAAGGCGTTTTGTTCTCCTCTCCAACCGATGTGGGATCTAACGATCCACCCCCCCTTTGAGGCCCAGCGTCCTTACTGGCACACTGCCTCGTGTCTACTCCCCTTCGGAGAATAGTCTCCTCGCAGGCACATCGCTCGGTGCGTGGCTCTGATACCATTTGTTACAGTTCAAACCCACCGCTAGTATAGATATTGTCCTCTTTGGACTTTCTCCTTCGGACTTCCCCTCAAGGTTTTTGAAACGCGTCTGTCAGGGAGAGGTTTTCACACCCTTATAAACGGTGTTTCGTTCTCCTCCCCAACCGATGTGGGATCTAACACACAACGAAAACTTTAAATGTCAGGGCCTCGACCTCTAGACAACTTATCAATCTATATACACAAGGGACTCCGCTAGACATTACCAGTATTTGCAACATAAACTAAATCACTACGAAGATTAAACTACCCAGACGAAATGGTTACGTACCAAAGTTCATAGACTAAATCGCTAAACATTTAGAAACACGAGCTAAATCTAGGAGGACCAGAAAAGTTAATGAACAGCGGAAAATAATAATAATAGAATGATGATTCAATACTAGTTGGGCAATTGAGTGTGCTTATGGGTGTCAATCCAATCAATTTGGATGATGGTGTCTGGCATGGGAGAAAGCAATCACAAAACTCCTAGCAAATGGGACATAAGACACTGCTTTTTCAGTCAGAGTTGAGAGACTTAGACATGTGAAACTGGAACAGAAAGAGAAAGACCAAACCCTGAGGCGGAGGCAAAGGACAACCACTGAATATTATTCTTTATTCCTTCTGTTCCCTAATCTGCTACAACTGCATCGCACATCCACTCTCTTCTCTCATTACTATTTCTTTTCCCTTTAACAAATCAATCATGGCACAGTTTTTCACCTTTCAATGCTTCAATCCTTTGGAAACTATAGTGGTTGTGACAATTACTCGTTCGGTGATCTAATTTTATTGACTTCACTCGAAATCTGAAGATCTACATTTGAAATGTTTTCTGGGTTAAGAGATAGGAAGTAGTTTGGCTAACTATCTTGTACAACAACACTAAAGTAATCCACATCGAGGCCTCATTCATATTTCGAGGAGTGCGTTAGTCTTTCGACGGAGGGATAAGTTAGTGTACTTTAGGAACTTGGTGAGTACTCGATCAAGCATTGGAGGGTGTCTTCTTCAAAGAGTTTGAATGACCTTTAGTAAAATAGTATTATGTACTTGAAAGTGATATAGGTGGATGGGTAGGAAATAAGGGCACGAGGTACTCGCCCACTTTAAACTCAATCTTTATTCAAGCCTAAGCTTTACTAAAAATTACTACAATGAATAACATATCCTTGACTTTGATCCTAAATTTTTTGGTTGTTAGTTTATAGCTTGTTTTGTGTCTTAGATCCCAATTATAAGATCCCACATCGGTTGAGAGGAGAACGACGCATTCTTTATAAGGGTGTGGAAACCTCTCCCTAGCAGACGTGTTTTAAAAAGCTTGAGGGGAAGTCCGAAAGGGAAAGCTCAAATAGGACAATATCTGCTAGTGGTGGACTTGAGCCGTTACAAATGATATCAAAGTCAGACACCGGGCGATATGCTAGCGAGGAAGCTAAGCCTCGAAGTGGGGTGGACACAAGACGGTGTGTCAACAAGGACACTGGGCCCCGAAGGGGAGCGGATTGGGGGGGGGGG